AGGAAGGAAGGAAGGAAAAGAATGAAGGAAGGAAAAGAAGGAATGAATGAAAAAAGAAAAGAAAAGAAAAGAAAGAAGGAAGGAAGGAAAAGAAGGAAGGATGGAAGGAAGGAAGGAAGGAAGGAAGGAAGAAAAAGAAGGAAAGAAAGAAAGACAACAAAAGGTTATTTTTGCATGAAACCCAGAATGTGTAATATGATCTCCTAAACAGAAATAAGTCCAATCCTAAATAAATAAGTCCATCATCAAATGACACATTACATCCTGATTAACTGAATACCCCAAACCCCTGAGAAAAGTTCAACATTATTAACTAAATTATGATATAAACATTCATTTATCTTTCCTTTAACAAAACACGTCAACATCACTTCTGCATCAGAGAGAGAGAGAGAGAGAGAGAAAACACACACACACACACACACACACACACACACACACTCTCTCTTACGTGCGACAGCAGAGTCGCTCAGGGTGCCGAGACTGTCTGATCGCTCTGGAATCTGAGGCTACAAGAGACCCAAAACAACAGCAGATTAGAGGAACACTGAATTATGAAAAACAACAAACAGAAGAAAATGATAAATGCCTCAAAGAGGAGACGCTCACTGCTCTGACATCAGAATAAAACTAATCATGCCATGTACCTACAAATCATATATCACAGACTCATCCCAAAACTGTGCACATTCCAGACATTTTCCATTCATCTTCCTTAAACTAGAACGATGTACAGCACGTATAATTTAATAGTGACAGTGAAGTCTTTGAGTTCATATTAACAACACATAAAGTCCCTAAATACACACACACAAACTTTATATGAGCGTGTGTGTGTGAATGAGTGTGTATGGGTGTTTCCCAGTATTGGGTTGCAGCTGGAAGGGCATCCGCTGTGTAAAACATATGCTGGAATAGTTGGCGGTTCATTCCGCTGTGGCCACCCCTGATAAATAAAGGAACTAAGCCGAAGGAAGATGAATGAATGAATGAATGAAATCACACACACACACACACACACACACACACACACACACACACACACACACACACACACACACACACACACACACACACACACACACACACACAGCAGTATCAGTGAGTGAGTGTGTTGTGTATGTACCAGTGGTTCTGCTCTCCTGGTGGCTCCATCACTGCCCTGGCTGTCAGAAAGGGGCGGAGACCCAGGTGGCTCAGAGGCGGAGCTTGTGTTCTGTGAGGGGTGGTGCTCCTGGTATAAAAGGTTCCGCAGTTTCTCATCCAGAGTCTTGATGGTGCGGTCGGCGAACTCCAGTCTGGGCGGCCCCTCACTGTCCGACTCCACCGGCTGTGTCTGCTGGGCCTGATGGGTGGGGCTCTGCGGCTGTGATTGGCTGCTGCCGACAGGAGTGGGTGTGGCGAAGGGCTGCTGCAGCACCACAGGCTGAGTTTGATTGACAGCTGGTTCTGTGCTGGGAGATACGGGCTGCTGGAGGCTCTCGTCTGCCTTTTGATTGTTTAAAGACGCAGGAGGAGCGATCGGGCAGCAGGGGATGTCTGTAACCATGGAGACGCCGATCTCCGTAACCATGGAGACGCCGGTCGGACAGGCTGTCTGAGAGCCGTCTGCTGCCTGGTCACATGACTGATGCAGCACTGATGGAGGATCAACACTGATGATGGAGGAGCTGTCTGTGTCTGAGGGAGAGACGGGAGGATGAT